GTGCCTGCGTGGCTCAGTCGGTTGAGCGTCCGACTTCAGCTCAGGTCATGATCTCACAGGTCGTGGGTTCGAGCCCCGCGATGGACTCTGTGCTGATAGCCAGCTCAGAGTCTGGAGCCTGTTTCAGATTCTGTATCTCCCTCTCTCTCTGACCCTCACTTGCTCACACTGTCTCTCTTTCTCTCTCAGAAATAAATTTTAAAAATTTAAAAATTTTTAAAAAATATTTCAGTGACTTTCATAATTTATAAGCTAAAGACCAATTTCATAAGCATATACAGCTGTTAATGATCTGCCTCTCACCACCACCACCACCTGCAGCCTTTACCACCACCTGCAGCCTTTAACTATCAGCCTTTCTCTCACACCCCTACTTCTAATGAATTGCTTATTTCCAAAACAGAACATGCTCTCTTAGATATCTTTGCACAAGCTACTAACTCAGCATAGTATGCTCTTTCCTATTTTGTCCTCCTCTTGAAATCATCCTTCAAGATTTAGCTCAAGCACTACTTCTTTGTGAAGCCATCTCTAAAAGCCCTACTGTACTGTGTATTTCCTTAGCACACTGTGCCCACTTTAATTACAATGTATGTAGTTAATTAACTAGTAAATTCTCTTCTACATCCAAATTTGAGCTAGACCTCTAAAACCAAAACATCCAGACTAACACATTGTTTCTGCATATGGGTTCTTTCAAAGAAGGCTAACTACTAATCAATAAGTTTGAAAATCACTGAACTAAAGTACGATAAGGCATTATTATAGGTTGAATCTCATTTGTGGAGATGAACTGGAAAAGATTCCTTGTCTGTATGAAGGCACTCTATCAAAGCCCAGCCCACACTCACTTCTTGGCCAGATGACTATGTGCAATATGCAAATCGAGCAACCATATCATGGTATACTGTAATTATATATGTAAGTAGGTAACTGGCCTTCACAACTTCAATTTAAGCCCTGTTTGTATTCCTAGCACATCACAGAAGGATATATAATGCTCAAGGAACAGCTTTATAATTAATTAATTACTGGTAACACTTCTTAAACCATACCATGTTGTCGAAATTTACTAGCAATTAGCTGCTATATAAGAAACCAAAAGTGAACATAACTTAAAATAAATTTTATTTTTCTCTCACATAAAAGAAATCTAGTAGTAGTCAATTCATGGCTGATATAGCACATCTGTGGTCAGTAGGGATCCGTCTCCTCTCTGTTATTCTTAAACATGGCTTCATTTCCTGCCTCAGTGTCCAATACAGCTGTCAGGGCCACTTCATACTGCTGTGTAGTTTGTTTACTGCAAAGGCACCTGACCAAGAAGTGAATGGGATCTGTATACTGGAAGGGAATGTAGTTTCCCAGAAGAGGAACGTCTTCTAATTCTATTCATGTTTCTATTCTGTTCACGGGTACTAAGATATCATGGTCTAAGAGGCTATCTAAGATATTATGGTCATTGGGATTTCAGCTACCCAATGGGAAAATGGAATACCATCCATTTTCCTAGAAGGGCAAAAATTACCCTAATCTCTAAGCACTTTCCTAGAAGACCCACTTAAAAAGTACTTCCTTAGATTTCATTGGCCCAACCTTAATGACAAGACACAACTAGTTGAAAGGGAAGCTGGGAAAGAGTGTTTCAGTTAAACATACTGCCACCATAAATAAAAACACTGAGCAGCTTCAGTATGGGTGTAGCATACATACAATCCATCATTTCAACATTGGATGGTTGATGAGTACAAAGAAATAGAGTTAAGGCATTGTACTGAGTTTCATAACTAAAAGTTTAAACTCTAATAAAGCAAACTTAAAATTATCTTTATCTAAATTAAAGCAAGGCACCTTCAATTAAACTTTCATGGTCTGCTTTTTGAAACCAATAATCAATCGATTTCTTACTTTCTCTAAAAGTTCCATAAAGCTTATTTTTGGTATGCTGAACACTCTTACATAAATTTTATCAAGTAGAAGGATTCTCTTACTCTTTGTAAATTAAAAAAAATAAAAAGTCCCCTTAAGAAGAGGGTGATACTCCTAACCTTGTTACATTAAATGTTTAGGACTGTGGGGGCACCTGGGTGGCTCAGTCGGTTAACCGTCTGACTTCGACTCAGGTCATGATCTCGCAGTTTGTGGGTTCGAGCCCCGCGTTGGGCTCTGTGCTGACAGCTTGGAGCCTGGAGTCTGTTTCAGATTCTGTGTCTCCTTCTCTCTCTGACCCTTCCCTGCTCACACTGTCTCTCTCTCTCTCTCTCTCTCAGAAATAAATAAAACATTAAAAAAAATAAACTTTTAGGAATGTGTGTTTTGTATTCATATCTATATTTCTAAGCTAATGGTAATTAGTAAAGACACCCCACTGCCATTTTGTTCAAGGATCTTTAGAACCTGGGTTCAGAGACCTTTCCAAACTTAGCACATTTTTTCCTCACTAACCCTAAATTCTATCCAAACTTGTTCCCTACATATACCCTGACTCCACTCTGTACCTTTGTTTGACATTGTTCTTGACTTTCACTTCTCAAATTCTTATCCCCACACAATCAAAACAAGAACATCTTTCAAGGACCAGTTCCAATGCTCCTTCTTTTGTAAAGCTGTACTCAGTGTAACCCCCACAGCCAGATATGTCTTCCTCCCAACCTGAATATCCAAAGCACTTTGAGAGAAGGGCCCCTGACATGTTATTTCAGTATAGAAATCCTGACTTTAGGAGTAAGACAGATTTGGGCTAAGACAGGGTACAAATTCTGGCTCTGCCACTCATGATACCAGACAAATTGCTTAACTTTATCTGAAATGGAAGTATAATATGTACTTGCAAGGCTGGCATGAAAAGAACTGAAATTGTAACTACTAGGCCTGATAATAGTAGACATTCAAGGTTTCTTGACTGAATTAATGAGTATAGTACATAAACTTGTGCTGAGTTATATTATTTTGAATCATAATATTGTGAATTTTTCAAAGATACCTTCAAGGAGCTGATACTGTACTTTCTTCCATAAGATTTCATCAGAGGTAAAAAATCATAAAAGCAAAACACATTGACATAATTAAAAGACATAATCACAAGTATAAAATACTTAAAGTATGTGTTTAATTCAAGAAATTTCTTCACCAGAAATCTCTAAGTAACCATAGCCTGAAAAAAATTGTGGAAATAGACACATCTGTTAGCACTGAATCAGGAGGCAGGATCGATGTGCTCTACTTCCAATTCTGACATTAAATACTTTTGCTATCTTTGGCAATTTGCCAGGATTGTCGTTTCCTAGCTTCTTCATCTATCAAAAACTGTGGAATAAAATCAAGACATTACATACCCTAAACAACTTATCTTCATGTCATCAACAACTTATCTTCACCTTTAAGATACCTACTATAAATATTATGAGATGTAATAAATAACAAAAAATGCTACATACTCTTATGTCTTGTAATTATGTTATTACAGTAAGACAAATAAATGGTCAAAAGAAGTCATGTCTATTTTGGCTCTCTTCCTGTAATGAATTTCTTCATTATGAACTATAATGTCTTATTTTCTGACAGCACATCCTAATCAGTTCCCCAGAACAAACCTACCCACCTACTGTAATTGTTTCTTCCTTACTTTTTCCTTTGATAGTATAGGATGTGCAATTGTCTGATCAATTAAGTTAATGTTTCGCCCTGACCAACTCTTTTGGTGGATAGAAGAAATTATATGCTAATACATGGGATGACCCAGATAACTGCCTTAACAAAAGTACCAAATGTCACTGTGTTCTCATGCATTGAGGAGGATATGCCTTTTTGTTTTTCTTGTTCTCATTTTTCAGGGTAACCTGCAATCAATCCTGTGCAGCAAGCATGAGCCAGAGATTGAAATCATAGAGAGATTATATTGATGTTAATCCAGGCCTCACACTGACATGTGAATCTGCTAATAAAGTTATATAGTCAATTGCTACAGGGATGTTTTCAGAGAAGAAATTTCCATGAACTTCCAAATTTCCCCCAAAATATAGATACACAGCCACTGGATTTACTATTTTTGGTTGTTTTGATTATGTGCTTTTTAATTAAAATAGAGAAATAGGAGTGCTTAAAGAAACAAAGAGGTAGAAAGACAGGTACACTTTATCAAAATTATACTACTTGGCATGTTATTCTGAGAGCATGCATAGCACGTAATTTTCTTAAAGTGTTGTGAGGAATGGATATCTCATGTGCTCTAAAATTTCTATGGAATTTCTGTGAAGCATTTTTATATTTCTTTCAGAAAGCGATTACATTTTTCTAGGATTTTTCCTGTCAACAAAGTACATTTAGTACAGCCTCTAAAAATATGTCCCATACTGTACTGAAGAGATTGTTGAACTAGCTACATTATTGGGCTGAAGTTTCTTCCCACAGAAGGGAAGATGGCTGGTTGGTTGACTTGCCCCATTGCAAGATGACAGAACAGCAAGAGAGAGAATGGTGGACAGACAACTACAGGTGGAACAGAGGATGACGGCCATATCCTCATGGTGTGTGGTGCTAAGAAGGCTAAATAAAATGGAGTTCAGTTCTAGGTTCAGGTCATTCTACAGAGTTTTAGGGTTTTTTTTGTTTTTTTTTTTTTCTTTATTACCTACACTAATGTCTAAAGGAACATTTTCAAATGTAGGATGCATGGGCAGTACCTTTCTATGTGGAGGACTTTCCTGAGAAATATAGGACATATAGTATCTTTAGTCGCTGTCCACTTATCCCAAGAATCACTCCCCATTCCACTTCTCTGTTTGTGTTGTCCAAAAATCTTTCCTACAAACTAGTGGATTACTATCTATTCACCAAATTCAAGGATACAATCTCTTCAAATCACTGAGTAATCGTAATAGAAACCACTCACTGAGAGCTTACAATGTCCCAGACATTTTATTTGCACTTGCTTATTCAACATTTACAACAACCATACCAAGGTAAGTAATAGTATTGTTTTCCCCTATTTTACATTTAAGAAACCTGAGACTCAAAGATGTCAAATAACCTTCTTCAAGAGAGCCAGGATCCAAATCCAGGTCTTTTTGATGTTTAGATCCATGTGCTTAGCTACAATATATTGTCAGATACCGTTTTTATTACTTCTTAGAGCAGCTATTCTCTTTCTGTTCAGTGCTTTTCTTTCTGATGCAGCTTCCCTTCATAATTGCCTTTCCTTTTTGATCTTTCTAGAACAATTCTTTTTTGGATATATGAGTCTGTTTGCCACTCCTTCCTCCCCCTGCCTTTTAAAGTGGAGATCTGTGTTAGATTTGGATCTGCTACAATTGGTTCTAATTAATGTCCCTACCCCCAGGAAGTCTTGGAATGAATGACTCAATATAACTGAGCAAATTTCATATTTAAAGGAGCTTGAGAATTTTTAACCTGAACCAACATGTCCAGGGAGTATCCTATTACATGTTCATTGCCTCTTTTCTCTCACTTGCCATTAGCTTTTTAAACTGCTGGATAGTTGCTTTACTCTAACTATTGTCATCTGAAAATATTATTTCAGTGGTTATGAATAACGTCCTCACTAGTGGAGTGCTTTTTTCCTTCATTACTAGAATGGAAGTAATTTGAGGACAGAAAATTGTATGTCATTCTGTTTCCCCTATAATATATTGTAATGCTTGTACATAGTAAATTCACGGTAAATATCCATTGAGTGACTGCTTGAAGCTGAGTTCAATCTAATTTAATACAATAATTATAAGCTAATGAACAGATTTCTTCACTTAGATCCTTTGTGTTTTGTTTTCCACACCTATAAAATGAGCTGAATTCATAGTGTTGTCGAGAAGACACAATGAGATATTTGTGAGTGTTGCTACAACTATATTACCACATAGGAGACATTTAAAGGGTAGCTTTTCATCCTGTCTATCCTTTCTCCACAACCTTTTCCCCTTCACAGAGTACTTTGAGACAAAGTAATAAAGGTTCAAATTTTGAACCTGTGTATGTATGGGTCTTTTTCCTTTCTGTATGCTATGCATACGGAACTTGGTAGGATATCTAGACTCAATCTACAAACTTAGTTTTATATTATTCTTATTATTTTGTGTTTTTAATTTAAAAAATGTTTTATTGTTTATTTTTGGGAGAGAGAGAGAGAGAGAGAGCAAGCAGGAGAGGGGCATAAAGAGGGAGACACAGAATCTGAAGCAGGCTTCAGGTTCTAAGTTGTCAGCACAGAGTCTGAGGGGGGGCTCAATCCCACGAACTGCAAGATCATGACCTGTGCCGAAGTTGGACTCTTAACCCCCTGAGCCACCCAGGAGCTCCATTATTCTATTTTAATAAACACAGAACACATTTCCCTAAATACAAATGAAAGAGGAAACTATAGTATAGTAACCTTATGATACAGAACTAACTTTCCCACCTGTACTATTACTGTATGTATGTATCCCTTGAGAGAATGTTCAGCTTATCGTGTTGTGATGCAGGGTCAAGAACTAAGTCTTCTTATTGATCGTTGCCAAGGAAAGGGGCTACTCCTCAGACAGGAAAGTTTTTCTGAGTGACTGGGCCCAAAATTGATATGAAGTAAGATTTGACCTCCAAAGGTCAAGGAATCAGAATGTTTGGAAGTGTACTCTTGGGTGATTCCTATTAAACTGTACTCTTGGGTGATTCCTATCAAAGCAAAAGGAGAGCCAAGACAGAAGGACACAGATAAGATTTGTTTGATTTTTTGGGTTTTTTTTTAAGTTTTAAAAAAAATGTTTATTTCTTTATTGGGGGAGGGGGGCAGCAGAGAGACAGAGCAGAGAAAATCCCAAGCAGGCTCCAAGCTAAGCAAGGGTTAGATACCACAAACTGTGAGATCATGACTTGAGCAGAAATCCAGAGTTGATCATGACCTAAGTGGAAATCCAGAGTTGGATGTTCAACTGACTGAGCCACCCAGGCACCCAAAGATCTGCTTGTTTTTTGTCTCCCCCTGCTCCTTCAGGGTAGCCAGGAGCTTTGGAGGCATGTATAACTTCAACCCAGATTATTGAATTTCATGCTATTATTTAGGTTACCTTTTGTTATCTCCCAATCTTCAATAGACTATTTAAGTGCATTACAGGAAACCAGGAGAGGGCCATTTACTCATATTTGGGCTATAGTGTCAAAAAGGAGATCTGCGCCCCCTCCCCCGTATGATTGTCTCAATAACAGTTCAAAGACTCCATAACAAGGGAAGACCAGAGGAAAAAATCATGGCCATGTGGTCCAACTATCTCCTGATCATCTGAAAATTCTTCTAATACTAAACTTGGAAGATCTGGGTTATAATTTTGTAAAGAAAACAGAATCTTAACACATATGATTCATTGCTTTATCCTCGGAGTCTTCCTCACACATGGTGCTCATGAAGACTTTGTCAATGGATAAATGAGCCAGTAAATCTCATTACTTAATGAGATTTGTCTTGCTTGTACCTATCACTGTGTTTCATAGTCAGCATCCAACATGCCATATAGGTAAATTTTTTTCAGGTTCAACTCAGTACCTATTGAGTACCTCCTATCAATAAGGAACTAAGCTAGTCACTCTGGGAGACACATCTATGAATAAGATATGGCATCTTGCTTCAAGGAGCCCAAAATTTAGTGGCTGAGATAGACACAGACATAAATAACTATTTCTTTAATGTGTAACCCCAGGGATATCTGAAGTTCCCTAGCTTATTACCTTTCTCTCTTTTTGTTAGCATTTCTCAATTTCTTTGTCCCTTAAGAACACTTGTACTTTTGTGCTTCATCTTCCTTGCCTGATTCACTCCCTTGACACCATTCTTATATCCTTTCCTATCAACAATTCTTATTTTTCTAATAGCTCCTTTCTTTTCAGTAAGCTTTAAATACATCCTCCTTTACTGTAGAAAAGACTCCCCTGGAGGCTTTTCTTTGATTATCTCTCAAATTTGGTTGCTTTTCATTTTTAAAAAATTTTTTAGGTTGGCCATTCTTAACTTTTAATAGAATAGCCCTCTCTAGGGGCGCCTGGGTGGCTTAGTCGGTTAAGCGTCCAACTTTCGCTTAGGTCATGATCTCGCGGTTCCTGGGTTCGAGCCCTGCGTCGGGCTCTGTGCTGACTGCCAGCTCCGAGCCTGGAGGCTGTTTCGGTCTGTGACTCCCTCTCTCTCTGACCCTCCCCTGCTCACGCTGTCTCTCTCTCTCTCTCTCCTAGAAATAAATAAAACATTAAAAAAATTTAAAAAAAATAGAATAGCCCTCTCTATATTTTTCCCAGAAGATATTAAGTAAATGTCTAACTAGTAAAATGAAAAAGTCTGTGCCCAACCACTAGGTATTTATCCAAAGGACACAAAGGAGTTGATTTGAAGAGGCACATCACCCCAATGTTTATAGCAGTGCTATCAACAATAGCCAAATTATGGAAAGAGCCCAAATGTCCATTGACTGACAAATGGATAAAGAAGATGTGGTATGCACACACCACACACACACAATGGAATATTACTTGGCAAACAAAAAGAATGAAAGCTTGCCATTTGCAACAATGTGGATGGAACTAGAGTGTATTATGTTAAGTGAAATAAGTCAGAGAAAGATAAACATATAATTTAACTCATATGTGGAATTTAAACAAAACAGATGAACATGGGGGAGGGAAGGAAAAATAAGATAAAAACAGAGAGGAAGACAAACGATAAGAATCTCTTAAATACAGAGAACAAACTGAGGGTTGCTAGAAGGGTATTGGGTTGGGGATGGGCTAAATAGGTGATAGACATTAAGGAGCACTTGGTGTTATATGTAAGTGATGAATTATTAAATTCTACTCCTGAAACCATTTTTTAAATTAAAACAATTTTTTAAATGTTTATCTATTTTTGAGAGAGAGAAAGATACAGAACATAAGCAGGGGAGGAAGAGAGAGAGGGTGACACAGAATCAAAAGCAGGCTCTAGACTCTGAGAGCCTGACATGGGGTTCAAACCCACGAACAGTGAGACCATGACATGAACCAAAGTCTGACACTTGACCAAATGAGCCATCCAGGCACACCATCCTGAAACCATTATTACACTATATGTTAACTAACTTGAATTTAAATAAAATTAATGAAAAAAGAAAAACCTAGGCCTAATTGTTTTTCCTTTAACACATAATCACATAATATATTTATAGAAGCTGGTTGAAATTCTTAATGGTAGACATAGCTACATTATCATATAATCAACATTGCTTCATAAAATCAGAAACAATAAGCATAATTACCTGAAATCTAAGTTGTGCTGCAAAAGTGTAACAAAGAGAGTTAAGGCAAGAAAGTATAATGTCATTCCAAACCTCTTCAGTTTTCTCCAGTTTGGTGAAAGAAAGAAAATGAGATATTACTTTGCATTTTTAAACAAATATTTTATTACTATATTTTTGATTTTGCATAGCACTTTACAATTTACAAAACTTTTTAATGAACAGTCAGCTCATTTGATCTTTACAATAGTATCATTTTGAAGAAATCAGAGTTATATCATCATAATTGTCATTTTTGGCAGATAAGAAAATTTAGAGACGCCAAATGATATCTCCAAATTCACAAGCTCTGCCTGTATGTGGCAGACCTAGGTCTCAAATTCAGGCATTCTTACCTTCAGAACATGATTCTTCTGCCTCTTATAATAATAATGATAATGATAATAAGGATAATAATAATAATGCTATACATATTTTACCAGGTCGTTTATATTTAAATTTAAATGTGGTTTTACTTATTTTGAAGTTTCTGAACCACATCCTCTATTGTGTGAATACTTTTCACTAAACCCTTTTGATAGAAAATTAGTATAGATTATTTATATGTTTAACCAGTAGGACTAGACTTTTTCACCATGTAGAATCTAGGCTTTAGTAACTACTGAAGGAGAGTGTGCTTGAAACACAGAAGCTGGAGAAACCCAGGAGATGAACTCCATGGACCCAAATAATTGCATAATTGCATTGGATCCAAAGAGTGCTTTCTAATGAGCTCTGTTGAAGACTGCATAAAGTGAAAATACCCAATTGTCTATGTCAATGAATTAACACCAAATATGAAAATATTGGAGAGTTAAGAGGCTATTATATTATTAAATGAATATAATAATGATCTGACTCCTCATTCAAATGAAATTCTGTAGAATTAGATATTTGTCTCAGTGAAACAGCATGGGGCACCTTGACAATTTCTTGAAGTCTAGGTAAAGGAATAGAAATCATCAGAGTTTTTAAATAGAAGGATTAGGTAGGAACGACAAACTAAAAATGAAGTAAAAATGAAAGATTTTATAACATTACCTCCAAAATTCTTCACTAGTCTCACATATGTCTAGACTGTATAAAAAGAAGTTTCAAAAGTCTCATGCACTTAGCTGCCTGCCATAGTGAAAGGCAAACTGTCAATGAACCAATGATAAACAAATTTTCTTAAACATTTTCTTTTCCATGCCTCTCACATAAGACCAGACCCAACAAATAAAAAAATTACTTTCCAAAAGTTTAGAGTTTTTTTTAAAAGTTGATTTATTTTGAGAGAGAGAGAGAGAGCAAGAAAGCATGCATGTGCATAAGCAGGGGAGGAACAGAGAGGCAGAGACAGAATCCCAAGCAGGCTCTGTGCTGAAACCAAGAGTGGGGTTGCTTAACTTACTGGGCCACCCAGGGAGCCCCAAAGTTTAATTTTAAAATAGTGGTCCAGGGGTGCCTGGGTGGCTCAGTCGGTTAAGCATCTGACTCTTGATCTCATCTCGGGTCTTGATCTCAGGGTTGTGAGTCTAAGCCTGCATTGGGCTCCACAGTGTGGAGCCTACTTTAAAAAATAAAATAGTGTTGCATGGGTGGCTCATTTGGTTAAGTGTCCAACCTCACCTTGGGTCATGATCTCTCAGTTCACAAGTTAGAGCCCCACGTTGGGCTCTGTGCTGCTTCAAATTCTGTCTCTCTCTCTCTCTGTCTCTCCCCTGCTCACGTTCTGTCTTTCTCTCTCAAAAATAAATTTTAAATAAAACAAAATAATAAAATAGTGGTCTAACAGCCTATTTTTGTATCCTAGGTGTTTGTGAGTTAGATGTTTGTCACTCGAGGAGTATGACAGTTAAAATCAGGTAAGAAAATTTAGTAAGGTCACTAAGGATGTGGGTTAGAATCTCTACCAGCTATATTTTTATCATATTTTTCTATCATATTCCTAAGATTATACATTTGTAGACTAAGATGTGGCATTAGGTAAAGAGAGCCTTCGAACAGAAATATGTCAGCATCAATTTAATCCTTATAATTGAGAATAGAACCTGATTTAAGATGCTTAGTAGATGTTAACAGGATCTTCATGTACTCCTAGAATTTAGTGTTGGGTTTTATTCTGGCTGTTGGAAAATCTTTTGACCTAAAATATCTTATGAGCAGTTTACATGGGGGCACAGAGCATGTTTTCCTCAGGAGATTAAATTGTTAATCTTGCCTTTGATGTTTCTTGTACATTGCTCTTTTTTTCTGCTCTCAGTAGCAATTTTGTGGAAGTCATAAAGGATTGGTAAGCACCTAGTCATGCTCTATTGCCCTTTTTTCAAATTTTGTTTTATTTTATTGGGAAGCTTATACCATTTGGAAGCTTCTTTCCTGCTGTACTTCTCTAACTTGAATATAGACTCAGGTCCTGAATTGACTCTGCTTAATAGGCTGCTGTATAATTTTGGAAAAATCTTTTCACTTCTTGGACCTCAATTTTCTTATCTATAAAATAAGAAATTTGGCCTTAAGATCCTCTTAGGGTATGCCTTCTTAAATATTCTTTGGCAAGTGTTCAGAAACAGTAATTGAAGGAACAAATATTAGTCTATTCTTTATTTATGTGTTTGGCCAGAATTGAGGGTCTCTGAGACATCAATAGAATGAGAGGGCTGCCAGGGAAAGGAGGCATATTAGATGCCTCCCTGCTGGAAGTATCTAACATGTGGTGTTATAATTCAAGTCTAGGAATCGTTAAGGACCAGCTAAAACCCTGTGAAGCGAGATGGTCAAATGTTGATCCTGTGATTATTTTAAAGTTTTCAAATATTATTATTTGAATATTCAAATAATATTATTATTATTTGAAAGTTATCAAAAATTATTTCATAATTTTCTTGCTTTTATGGTCATCAACAGGACAAGGAAGGAGTTGAAGAGATATTTTCTCTATACCATGCTACTCATATACTAGTGTGGCAAGGAAGCACAATACCAGACAACTGGGAGAAGCCACCACTGGAAATATACTGTTGGCAATCTTTGGTGGCTTAAGATTCTCTTTGGTTCTCATCAATTATGGAAGAGGTTTGTTGTCAAATTTTCCAGTACTTTGGAAATTTCTACTTTCTTAGATCATCTATTATAATTTAGTGTGCAGGAAAACAAAGTCTGGATGAATGAACATGTTACCATTGATAACTCCTGGGGAATGGGATTAATGTGAAAAGATCTGATTTTTATTTTATACTCTTTGGAATTATTTGTATTACTTTTGTTAATAAAAAAATATAATTTTAATGTGGTATTATTAATAATCCTAAACTGAAAATAGGCTTGTCATCCAGACATTTCAGGCAATGGGTATTAGTCTCAGGCTATAAAGAAAAAAATTATTCTTTAATTTCTAGAGTAGATTTTAACACAATGGCTTACGTTTATAGGTATTTGGAAGAAAATTATTTTCATTTCTTTCTTCTTCACAAGTATTTGATTATTTTATTGTATCCAGGGATTTCTGTATATTTATTTTTTCAAGGAAGAGACTTAATACATATATTCTTGGTACATAGCAAGTGATCAATAAAGGTTTGTTGAAGGAATAAATTAAATAAACCTTAATCTTATTCTATTTTGAAATCAGAATAACTTTTAAAATAGAAGGATACCATTTTGGGCTCTGAAACAGTTTTTTTTCCCCCTAGTAACTTTAAAGATTTTACAATATTCTCTAAAAGTTATCTTTAAAATTTGTCTACTTATTTTCAGGGAAATGTGACTTAACAAATAAGTTGATTGTAAAAAAAACAAAAAAAACTCTGACTTGACAAATAAGTTGTAGATGATACCTCAGTTTCTTTTTTTTTTTTTAATGTTTTATTTATTTCTGAGAGAGAGAGAGAGACAGCGCGAGCAGGGGAGGGTCAGAGAGAGAGGGAGACAAAATCTGAAGCAGGCTCCAGGCTCTGAGCTAGCTGTCAGCACAGAGCCTTACACAGGGCTTGAACCAATGAACCATTAGATCCTGACCTGAGCCAAAGTGGGTCAAAGTGGGACACCCAGGCGCACCCCTCCCCTCATATCTCGGTTTCTAAAGGAATGACTAAATAAAGCATTTTTTGCTAGCAGAGCTCTTGTATATTATTCAGTTAGCAATTCCTCACAACTACTTCTCTGGTGCCATTGTCTGAGTTCAAAAGGAGTGATTAAGTGAACGAATGGATGAATGAATAATTGCTTTGCTTAAGATCCCAAAGGGTAAGGAGTGGCAAAGACAAATTGGTGTTCACTAGCCCTGTCTCCTTGACTGTCCCTCCTCCCCCCCCAGCCCTGTTGCCTCCCCAGAACAAAGGAGGAGAAATGCAGTGCTTTTTTCCACAGCAGGAGTAGTGGGTCATTTGCAAATGCTTGGTAGGAAAACATGAAAGACTAAGCCTGATAAGAAATGTCTGCTTGCTACAGGTATGGGTTAGAATCTTGGTTTATAACTTATCTACAGTAAATACTGTGATCACTATTAGCTAGGATTTGCACTCTTTTTTTTTTTTTAAGCCTTTGCACTCTTTAAATGCACAAACTCACATTTCTACTCCAGTGCCAAAATATAATTTCCTGCTGTTCTATGCCTAGAAAGAGAGAAACAGAGGAGAGACAGAGAATATGAACAAAGTTTAAATGGATCTGAATTACTGAGATTTCTTTGCTCTATTTTATTGAATTTCACACTTTAAGATTGATGGAATGGTTCTTACTGAAAAAAAAAAGTCTGATTTTGACAGATATACTTTGAAGGAAGGACAAATTAAACTTTTGGCAGTAGGTCAGCTTTAAGTAAATTTCTTTTCCTTTCTTTTCCTCTCCTTGTTACATTTTTATCAAGTGTTTTCCCGCAGCTTTTTGGAATTTACCAAATTTCTCTAGGGAGAAACTTGTTTGCATGCAGAAGTGAGGTTTTCTTCCTCACTTCATTTTATGTTCACATGAGTTTTTATTCAATTTCTTTGGCTTTGGATATTTACCTCTCTTCACCTTCTGTGTTCCAAATAGCATTTTCCCTTCCACCTATTGTTCATGTGAATGAGGTGTTCACAGTTGCATTTCCAAAATATTCTGGAAATTAAAAGTTTTCCTTTGTGGAGTGAAACTCTTAGAACACAATCTACCCTTAGTTCATGCCAGTTAATGCCTAGATCTTTTCTAGGCTAAGCACCAGTACAAGTGATTGGGGCACATCAATGTTGAACTAAAGCTTTTGACTAATAGGCACAAAATCCCTTTTGCTTCATAGTTGTATTTCAAACATGTATTCTCTGAGTGATTTCTGAGTGCTTTATTTTTCAATTCCAAACTCTTGTTCTTAGTTCTTAGCTTTACCTGCCTCTTTGAAGTATTGACTAGCATTATGTCTCAGTATAATCACTGACAAATGTACATTATCATTGTGCTGGCTTTTAATTCCCCACTAAGATTTAAATATATTTGAGGCATTATTAATATCCATTTACAATGTCCTTTTGATTCTTAATATGGAACAAATCCTGCTGGATAACATTATACAAACAGCAATTTGATTTCCTGAAAGTAAACCTAAGTAATGAAAATTCCTGCCCTTTGGGCTTATGCATTATTTTAAATGTCAAAATCTGCCTAGAAAAATCAACGACATTCCCCTCCCATGTAGTTAGCTAGAGCCAGAAAGGGAGAAAAAAATGGAAATACTTTTATTTAAATGTTGTTACAGCATTAAATAAATTTGTCTTGAGTTTCTAATATAAAATGCCTAATGGAAGTCCCTCTTTTTGGAAGATGCAACCCACTTTCAGACTTTTGTTTGGGAAGAGATCACTTAGAAATACTTGCTTTTAGTACTTTTGCATTATTAAGTTTTAGTTTTTTCATTTTTTAAGGAATGCGACCAGTATCCCTAACTTTTATGGGTGTCAAAGGAGTTTTGTGATTAAGTTATTACTGTTTCTCTCTTGTCATTATTAAAAACCTTCAATTCCCGAGAGCTCAGTGACAAGCCAAGCTCCATAGTCTAGCGGGCAAGGGCTGCATTTTCTGTCTGGCCTCCCACCCATCCTTCCTAACTTTCAAACATCCTACACCACTTGCCTTCCCAGAATCCTTTCTGATAGTCCCTGCCTTTGTAAATGTCCAACCCTTTCTCAAATCCACTACCCCCTGTTTTTCATCACAAACAACTTTCATTACAAACTCAGCTGTGAAGGCCTCCCAAATAGCAACCTGGCTCCCAGTTAGTGATTCTCCCAGGGCAGTGGTTCTCTAGGTGTGATTTTCTATGTAGCATCAGAGTTACCTCATCCCCCTGGAAACTTGTTAGAATTGGACGTTCTCCGGTAAACTCTAGACCTAATGAATTAGAAAGTCTATGGGTGGGACCCATTGTGTGTTTTCACAAGCTCTTGTCTGGATTCTGACCCACAGCCCTAGGGTATCAAATTATAACCATGCGTATATCTCCAGGCTCTCACTTGCTTTCATACTTGGTGCTCAAGAAGACTTTAATATAAAACCAGTCCTTCTAAACAAGCAAATAAAAACAAAAGCAGTTGCCTAAAATGGGTTAACTAAAATAAACTAGCCTGAAGCCAATTTTTTCAAATGTTATTTACTTAATGATCAGGGCTTTTAATCCACAGTTTACCTAAAGTCCAACCTCCTTTGAGTGTTTTTTACATTCTTATCGGTTTCCACACCTACACATTCTTCAAGCCACTAATGATTTCTCAACTTTCATTTGAAACCTGAGATTTTCCCCACCTGGGCTAAGGTGTTCTCTCTTACTTGTTACCAAAGTGAGTTAGCTACAGGTTTCTCCCTTAACCTTATGAATTTCTCATGAGTAATACTCTTTTATTTTTTTTGTTATGTCTTGTACAATGCCTTGTGTATAGTAGACATTTGAGAAATGGTTGTTGAGTTCAGTGGTAGTATACAGTAAAACACACTGGGGCCAAGCCTTGTGTTCAAATGGCTCTTCTTTATTTACTAGCCATGTAACTTTGGGCAAGCTTTTTAAACCACTCTATGCCTCAATCTCCTAATGTATAAAACGGGCATAATATATAATAGCAGTCAATTCATAGGGTTGTCAAACAATAAAAGGAGTTTAAATATGTGAGGTATGTAGAGCAGTGCTAGCAAATGATAAGCATTATGAGTTAATTATTAATATTTCTTTAGCATTCAAATCCTAGTTCTGCTTTTATTCAACTATGTGTTTTATTCAATTATATTCATTTCCTTTTCAATGTTTCTTGTAGCTGGGGTGCAGGGGTGCAAGAGTACCCAGGGTCCAAAACAGACCATGTTGGGCCACTCACTGCCAACAAAACCCAGAAACCAGTAATTGTGAAAAAAGAAAGAAATTTAGTTCATTGAGTCAACATCAGGAAGACAGCTAACATCTCAAAGTGCTAAAAAATACTTCCAGATTTATACAAGGAAAGGTGGGGTAAAGATGAGTGAGTATGCTCAAGTGGGCAGTAAAGGTCAAATGGATTATTGTCTTGGAGTCAATCACAGGTGGGGTCTTGCTGGCTCAGGGCAGTCCGTAGTGCTTGAGGGGGTAGTTTTGGTTCCCCTCTGGGGATGCTTTGCCCTCAGGGTTTTCTGTCTGAGCCAAGAGACCAGCTGGAAAGATAAGCCAGCTAGAAATCTGAGGGCAAATAGAGGCAGCCGAAGTCCTCTTTCATTCTTATTTTATTGACTATGCCTCATTTGGATTTCATAGAATAATTTTGTCACAAAAAATAAAACATTACCACTTTTTAAAAGTTAAGATGGATGCTTTCAGGGTACCTGGGTGGTTCAATCAGTTAAATATCTGACTTCAGCTCAGGTCACGATCTCACAGTTCGTGGGTTCAAGCCCCGCGTTGGGCTCTGCACTGACAGCTCTAGAGCCTGGAGCCTGCTTCAGATTCTGTGTTTCCCTCTATCTCTGCCCTTCCTCTGCTCACACTCTGTCTCCTAAATAAACATTTAACATTTTTTAATAAATAAATAAAAGTTAAGATTCATGCTTTTTAAAAAAATTTTTTAATAAGTTTATTTATTTTTGAG